TCCAATCGACGAAGTTTCCTTCGGTGGTACTGTGTTCGGAGTCAATTTTATGTCGATCCGCTTTGTTGCCTGGCTAGCATTCGGTGGTGTACCACCTTGCTCACGGCCACGCTTTGGTGTTGTTGCGTTGGCATCGTTTTTCAAGCGAGAAGTAGGATCGGCATTCTTTTTTGCAATCGTTCTTTGATTTTTGGTTCGTGTGCGATTGCGTTTGCCACTTTTTTCAATGTTAATAACACCAGTGGCCTCAGTGTTTGAGTTGAGGGCGATTGTGATCTCCTTCTTAATCGTGCCGGTGTATGGGCGAGATGTTTTTGCCTTATTCGGTTTTGTTTCCGAATTTACCACCGACAGATTTGAGTCAGGCCCTGAGCTCGCTTCCCCTTTGTTAACCTCACGATTCACATCGGTTGGCTCACTCAACAGGCGATCCTCTTGTGATGGAGTTAATCCCTCTGAATTTTCCTTTGTTTCAATCAAATCAGACATATTTTCGTCCCTCTGTTGAAAAAAAGAAGAAAAAGTGAAAAAAAAAACATTAATTGAATTAGTGTAAATCAAATTCACTTTGTTGCTTTATCCGATTTAGCTCCGCACACACTCAATGAAAATATTCACGTTGAAACGTTTCAAAGAATGTGTGCATTTATCCGCTAGGCCATATTCAAACGGCAAAAGTATGCTTTGTCACAACAAATGCAAACTGTTCCCGAGCGAAAACCCAGCAAATTTCACCAAAAGCACGATAAAGCGCCTGTGTTTATGCAAATCTCAGTATTTTTTGATTTGCATTCACCCACGTGATGAAATTGTTGATTATCGATGCGCTATGATTTGTCACACTTCAGTCGAGAATCACAATTTATTTGTACTTACGTACCCGGAATATTTTGTTTCAATTTAACTTACGAGATCTTCCGACAAAATGCAAAAAAAAACTCACAGTCAAATCAAAATAATGGCACAGCAAAGCTTGAAAATAAACCCGCACTTAAATGTATGTAAATCCGGTGGTGTGGTTTTATTGTTGTTGTTGCTATTTGTTTGCTGCACACGAAACACAGAAAAAACTCAAATTTTATCGCACTGAGCGCCGGTCCAATTTGCTTTTTGGGTTTCACTTAATTTAATTTACAAAATGAAATCAATTTTGTTTGTTTTAGTTTAGTTTAAATATTTTATTTTTATATTTAAAGTCACCAAAGCAACACGCAGTGGAAAAAAACACTTGTTCACTTGACAGCTGTCAAATCTCTTCTTTGCAGAAGCTCAATTTTTTGTCCTCAATTTTTGTCGAAATTTTCTTGGAAAAAATTGAGGGCCAAAAACCAAACTTCTGCAAATGCGATCAACATGAAACTTTCAGAATCTTATTTTTTCTCCAAAAAATGAAACCTCAGAAAGTTTGACGCCAATCAGAATCGATTAACGGGTACCTCCCATACAAAATTGTCCAAAAATCGGTAATTTTAGTCAAAATTTCAAAAATTTTGTATGGGAGTTACCCGTAAATCGATTCCGATTGGTTTCAAACTTTCAGAATTTTATTTTTCTCCCAAAAATTGAAATCTCAGAAAGTTTGAAGCCAATCGGAGTCGATTTACAGGTACCTCCCATACAAAAGTGTCAATTTTTTGAGGTTTTTCTTAGGGCAAGTACCCCAGGATCAAATCGAAAATGGCTCATCTTCAAACTTAAACTAAGTTTTTCGAATACAAAACTTTTGGCGTTTCCAGATTTGGATTATCTCAATTATTTTTTGAGTTATCGTGTTAACACATACCAACGACGACGACGGCACACGAACGGAAAAGTGTCTCAAAAAGTGGTTTTCTACGCGTTTCATGAGTTTTTATGATGATCTAAACCAATTTTGCGAAAAAAGTTTTCGGGACCAATTCCTATACTTTCCCTTGACACGTTGTGTACGGAAAAGTAAAACGAAAAATTCTCCAGTGAAGAAATAAAAATTGCCGGAGCTGATGATTCGGAATATGTTTGTGTGAAAGCCATCACTAAATCACACGTCATTTACATCTACAGCGCATACATTCCACAAAATTCACCGCAAGTAGTTTACGACTCACATTTAGCGGTCATGCACCAAATAGCATATTACGAGACAAGTGTCAAAATTTGTGACTCAGATTCGTGTTTTAATTTGTTTTGTTAGTGTTATGCAGAGCCTGTGAGTGGGCCACTCTGTAAGTCAGGACAATATTAATGTTGACTTACATTCCAGAATGGAATCTCCGGAATCCAATCTGTTGTTTCGTCTGGAATTGTGTGTCGGGAGTCTCTTTTCAAATGGCGCCTATCACATTCATCGCTACTTTCATTTTCAAACAAATTTCCAATCAGTGACACATTGTTTCTAGCAACTTCACTTTTTGTCGTTTGATCAGACATTACACTCATTCGACGTGTACTATAACGCTTTCTAGCTCTACAATATTATTTATATTATCCATATTATTATTAGTATTATTACCAATTACAAAAAAATATCATTGAGACAATACAAGGATAAAAATTGTTTACCTTAGTGGTTCTGTTCGCTTAATCAAATAGGTTTTAATGTTTAGCATTTTCAAATGATTGTCACGAATACCTCCATCACCAGGTTCAACTTCATATGCATCATTAAGACATTTTAGAGTCGCTTCAGATATATGAACGCGTCCAGGCACACCACCGCTTTCCATGTGATTAGCTATTATAACGTCATTCGACCAAACATCAAAATGCCATTTTTTATCCCCTGAGAGAAATTTCAATTGTAATAATAAAGTGTTAAACATTTATGTTGTGACGGAAATAACGAACACAAAGAGAGTTTATTATATAGGGTAGGTGGGGGCGAATCAAATCACTTTTTTCAAATAATAATATCTCCATGCCAGTTAGATATTTTGATGGATCCAATATATCGTATGATAGGTATTGTAATTGCGCCACTTTTGATATATAACACTTATGGTGTATGACTTACTCGGAAAATTTTATGGCCGATTTTCCGACCACCGCAACCGATTTTCCCCGGGGGGAAATATAATTCGAGTTTGCGGGATTGGGAGTGGCCATACCCTCCCAAACGGGGTTGTATCTTAAGGTATTTTGACGAGATCTATCGATTGGACCTACTCCCGATTCCATCTGACCCACCCCTTGATTCCCTACGGGGTTATAATCGATGTCGCTTCCCTTTTCTTCAAAAGTTTCATACAAAAATCATGTCAAATTTTGCAAGACACATTTTTTTTCAACATTTTTTCGTCTGACAAAAATTGACACGTTTTTTACATGAAATTTTTTTTGCATTTTTTTGCACCAAAAGTAATAAGATACTTATTACAATCTTATTACAATTACAATCTTATTACCATAATAAGATGATCTTATTACTTTTCATCTTATTGTAATTTTTACACAAATCTATTGTAAAGTACAGATAATTTCCGTGTATTATCCCCCACTTGTACTGTTTTTACATTGAAGAGCGCTGCATAAAGGTGTCAAACGGACAGGACAGTCTGAAAAAAATGGCAATTTTGTCCGTCCGTCCGAATTTTCGGACCGGACATTTCTGACGTCCGAAAAAAGTCACTTCGGACGGAAAGAATTGGTCCGTTTGACACCTTTAACGCTGCACGCATCTTAACATTCATAATACAAACTTAACCCTGCATAAATTTTTCCCAGAGCTGGGAATTTTTTTCCTGGTTCATTTTGATGAATAATTAACGGGAAAAATATTGGTTTTTACAGAAAAGGAAGAAAAGTGTGAAAATAGGTTGGAAAATTGTTGCCCGCCAAAAGGCGGTTTCATGCAGGAAAGACATGAAAAATTCGAAATTTTTTCTTCCAATTTTTCAATGAAAATATCAAATTTTATTTAGAAAATGAATAAAGAAAGAACAAAAACTGAATGAAAACAATCGAAATCCTTCAAGATTGCATTGACTGGGTATGAAAATCATGGAAGCTGAGGAGTTGCACAAGTTTACTTGATGTTTTGTGCAATAACCTTGCGTTTTAAATTTGCATGTCATTTTGCCGTCTCAATACAAAAAACGACACCAATGGCCCAAATCGTCAAACCAAACTTTATCTTCTTGAAGTTTAGTTTTTTTTTTTGGAATTGGCTCCGGCCTGGACACTTCGGGGTACCTTTTAGCATACCATATATCACTTCGGCGATTGGTTTCTACTTCACAATACGTATCGTAGTCATCACCAACGGGAATGCTGTTTATTGAAGCGAAAATTTCATCGTCAGACAGCAACAAAAGATTGAATTCAGAGAGTGTTATTCTGCTGCTAAGCACTCGCGCTGCAAAATTGTCATTATCTGAAGATATCACCCTTACTTAGTAAAATTGGAAAAAATCGTAGGTCATGCTAGCAATGACAATTTGGCACTGTGAATACGGTAAAATAACGCTTCCGGCGCCTGAGTCAGTAAATTCAGCTCAGCTCAAGCCTGCTTAGCAGCGAAATAACACTCTCTGATTGAATGTGTTCCATCAAACCATGAATACGCTATGAAAAATTGTATACATATCGAAAAATACCACTGCAATCCATATTTTGAAAATTTTCGATTTCTGAAAATGTGTCGCTGAGCATAAAAATGGGAATACAGATCTGTTACAGCAACAACCGAACATAAAATATTGTTCCCTAAAAACGTTACATGAATTTCCATCTAACGCGAGTGTAACATGAGTTGCATTAGAAACAGTATTAGCTCATGTTACACTCGTGTTGGATAGAAATTCATGTAACGTTTTTAGGGAACAATATTATATGTTCGCTTGTTGCTGCAACAGATCTGTATTCCCATTTTTATGCTCAGCGACAAAATATATGTCTTTCCCGCATGAAACCGTCTTTTGGCGGGGAAAATAGGAAATTCCGGGATATTTTGGTTGATTTGTGAAGAAAAAACTCCAAATTTATCATAAAAAAAATTCCCGACGCCAGGAAACAACAAAAAGAGGGTATCTCACTCACCGGCGTTGGCGTTACTCAAAAAAAATAATTAATTTCGGAAAACCCGCTTTTCTGAGTCACTCAAACGACCCTAACTCCACTACCCATGCGACTCACACTGATCAAGTACGTTTCGCACGATAGTGTACGACCATACGAACCAAACGACACCATGCATGCGGATTTGTAGCGTCGGGTTCGCATTTTACGGCTGATTTCGGCTTATGCAGTTGGAGGGTAATACGGGTGGAGGCGCCTTATGAAAAGTGGGACAGATTGTAAGTGCTATGGCTAATCCGAACTCAAGCAACATTGACTGTGATATAGCCATCCTTTGAGTTGGTGTTTAACTTTTGACCTGTTATTACTTTATAATGGAAACTAGCTTTTGTGTCAATGTATTTGCGAAAATTAGTTGATTTTTTTATGTCTTTTGGTCTCAACTAAATTGTAAATTCATAACTTCCAACAAGGACTTGTTAGATAAGACGTAAAACTTTTCTTCAATATATCACCTCTTGATAAATTGAATGATGGCTTTTGCAGTTCAGTAAAAAGTGTAACTGGGCTTTTTTGGACCGTTTACAACATCGGGTCGCTATGAGAAAAAATGCTTATGAGCGCCATGTACCTCGCGCGGAAATAAAATGAAACACTTGATATCAGGTATGATGTTGCGCAGCTGTTGTTACATTTCGTTGATTACTTTCACAAAACACATGGATTTTCACAAAAACACATGGATAATTGATATTATCGATGACCATTAACAAAAATTGATAAACATAAGCAAAACATGTTTGAATACCCTTTTTCATTCAAATATATGTTATATTCTAAGTTTATGAATATTCCTCAGGAAAAAACAGAAAAAAATCACTCATTATACTTATTTTTTCTTTCTTGAATATGTAATTTAGTTTTCCTTGTTTTAATTTTATTTCTTTGTTAGTTTATTTGCGTTAATCAAAAGAATGGATTTATTTCATCTGATTTCATCACAATTAAACAATAGCTGGTCTAACATTTGTGTCAGAATAATTTGACGTCTATCGGATAACACTAAACTCTTTTCAAACTATGTCAAACCCATATTTCATTCGGTACATATTAGACACTAATTTTTTGGTAATTTTGTGTAATTCAATAAAATAATAAATTATGAATTTATTAAAAACATGTTTTTTGTTACTATATGGTTTTACATTTTTTTTGTCATCTTATAAATTGTGCTTGTAATGATGGCTGTTCAAAATGTGGAGTATGTTCAAATCCTATATCGTTTTAAAAAATCAACGGTAAAAAATCAAAGACACGTTTAGTTTCACAACATGTTAAGGATAACAAACTATTCATCTTCCTTCTGCGCCAAAATTAGAACGGCTCAATTAGTCGATCTAAGGACAAACCAATGCTCGAAACTCAAAATGCAACTGCTGATGAATGTGATCAAATGTGATATAACGTAAGCATGCCAGATATTTTTTAATGGTGATCCGGGCCGGGCGAATCCGGGCAATTTTTTCAAAAAACCGGGTGATTTCCGGGCGATGAGCTCTCGGATTTCCGATCGAAAATCCGGGCGAAATCTGGGCGATTTTCAAATTTTCGCTAAATACAAGTTGAACGTACTGAACACAACGGGATCAAAATGCAAACTAATGTGCATTCATTTTTCATATTGGTCATATTGGCCATATTGCTTTTTTGCTAATTGTTTTTAAAATACAAACACAATAATTGATACACTGAGAATAAAATCAGCGTAGCGGTAAATCAGTGTCAACGGTACACAACTACAGAGAAACAAATGTTGTATACTGTTTTGTTTGCCAATTTGTGTATACGATGATTTTATTGTAATCGATTCAGTTGAATACAAACACAGTATTGAACACTCTTCACAGATGTCATTTGATTTTCTTATGATTAATCACATTAAGTACTATAATGGAAACTTTATTTTAATTTTTACGCATAACGGTTTTAAAAATTGATTAGAATAGTGAAAATTATCATTTAAAAAATGATATTGTAAATTATTACCATAGAAAAAAATGTGAAAAGAACATTTTCTGAAAGAAAACCGGACGAAGTCCGGGTTAATATTTCTCTAAATTTCGAGCGAAATCCGGGCTAAATCCGGTTTTTTTTCGCAATATCCGGGCATCCGGGCCGGGCGATTTCTTGCCCGGGTTTTCCCTCGAAAATCCGGGCGAACCCGGATTTTTCCGGGCGATCTGGCATGCTTAATATAACGCCATGCATTGCCTCATTACTACTACAAAAAGTATCGCTCCCAACAACAACGTTGATTTGAATCAGTGGAGAGGTGTTCGCATTTGGCAGTAAACAATATGGACAGCTTGGAACGGGACCTGTTTAAGTCAAATTGGATTTGTTAATCGTGCGGACACTTCTGTTTGCCGCGAGGAACAAACCTGTTCGCTAGGGCGAACAAATCTGTTCGCTAGGAGGAACAAGTGAAAATCCAGGAGCGATAATCCATCTCAAGTATAACTGAACAACATGGATCTTCGCTCCTGGATTTATATATTTTCAAACATTGCTCAAGCAGCTCAATTCAGACCGAATAAAATTAAATCTGTGATTAATGAAACGTGATTATTCTATATCCCAGGTTTTGTGTGCCGTTGTCATGAGAGAGATATTTTTTGGTACGCCACACCACCAACATTGATTACGATAGTTTTGGTAATTTAAAAAAATTTCCGCTCTATATACATAAATATTTGTTCGGGACAAAAATTGACATGAAAAGCAGATAATAATCAGTGGCACCGCACTGTCCAACAACATGCAAAATTGCTGTTCCGATATGTTCAAAAGAACTCTCAACATGCGTTTTTGTCACGATTCTAGCCTCAAAATAATACACCGCAAAATTTCACAATCACATCCACAAAATTGCAGCCCCAAAATTGCCCGAAATCACCAGGAAAAAAAACCAACGAGCCGCACGCCGCCTGGCATAATGATTGTTATTGTGTTATGAACACAATATAGCAGCCACAAACTAAGCCAATAAATTTTTCGTACGGAGCGCGCGAGCGCGTTTTCAGTTTCACTCCATTTTGCACGATCTATCATTTTATTTATACTTTCTATGCACCTAAAAACTCATAGATAAAAAGATTGATATTTACTAAGTTACACTGACATTCGGAACAACTAATATCAGATATGATAGTTCCTGATATAAACTATTCATGTTACTTATATTGTATAGTCAAAGAACCACAAACTAATGAAACATTAAATTAAATTTCCTGTAAACATTACATAATATTAAATTTCTTTGTAAATATTCAATCAATTTTTCTTCTGATAAATTTTATGGAATCCAATTTGTCATTTGACCAGCGCCATCTATCGAAAGTATACTTTTACTCCAACATTTTGTCACCGGGGTACATGGCGCTGAAAAGCAAGTTTTTCAGCTGTTCTGTCATGTCGCGCCCATGGTTTACAATTCGGCTACCTACTTATTTCCTAGTATCGATAAGGTTATTTTGTGTCAAAACTTTCACCGACCAAACTTTTTTGCCAATCGAGAAAGACTGCTCGGCAACTCCACACGAAATCAGGGAAGAGTTGTAATGTGGGGTCGCCGAATTGACTAAAAATTGGTTTGGAGTCTTTTTTTTTATAGAAAATGAGAAAACCAAAATCTTGGGGCTGTAAGTGGCCCAAATGTTCGAGTTCACCCGGTGTAAATTTTGCAAAAAATTGAAAAAATCGAAAAATATGAGTTTGCGGCAACTGAAATCTTACTAAGAAGTGTTTGACACATTGTCAAACCACTGGTACCGTTGGAAAGGGAATCGACGGGGCTACAAAAACTGCCCAACTTCTCCCTTCGACCCCATTGGGGCTCTCAAAAATGGAATTGCCGTACTATAACTACAAATCGTATAAATTCAAAACTATTTTTTTCACTGTAAATTCAACCAGAACTTGGCAGTGTTTAAATAAGTGAATGTGCAGTGCACATTGTGCACTCACAGAAGTAAGAAAATATTCTAACCATGTGTGGTAAATGTTGTAGACGATTTTTATTTATTTACTAACATCGCCAAATACTGGATTAATGAAGCAGTTTGGCTGGAAAAAATTATTAGAATACCATCCAATTCATGACTCTTGGAGTCATTTTCCTTCAAAACAAATTATTCAGCCAGTTTTTTTGGCGGTGTTGATAAAATACAAAAATACAAATACAAAAAAATTATTGATTTTGTAGACTGTCCAGTGCCCAACCATGGAATATTGAACGCATTTCCACACTTTCCAAATTTCAACTAGGGTTGGAGAAATTACAAAATCGTCTGCAATGACAACACTTACAACGCATGTTTGGAATATTTCCTTCTTGCCTTCTATCAGTGTGGACTAAAATTAAGTTACCTAATACGCCGCACATCACAGATCCGCTGTGAATTCCAATTCTCATATCCAAGTCGACCTATAGTTTGGAATGAATCTGAATAAGATGATTATTCATAATTGAAGGTGTCAAACGGACACGGAAAAAAAATCGCCGAATTTGTCCGTCCGTCCGAAAAAAAAATCGTCCGAATTTTTTTTCGGACGGACGGACAATTGTCCAAATGTCCGAAAAAAGATTTCAGGCGGACATGGTGTCCGTTTATCCGTCCGAAAATGTCCGTCGGACATTCGGACACGATATTCTTTTCGGACATTTTTCGGAAAAACAGACAATTTTTTTGTCCGAACATCGGAATCATCAACAATCTTCTGAAAAAAAAACCTCTAGTGCACACAACCGCCCATAAACGGGCATTATTTGAACGTCTATATAACGTAATCCGTACGTCAGATCACATTGTTTTAAAACCATCTTTATTATTCAAGGTGTCCTGTTTAGTGTTGTTGAGAATAAAAATGGGATTAGCCGAAACCGCCCGTTTGCATGTGAATCATTCTTCTGTCCCTGGTAAGAGATAGAAGACATATGTCACCTGCAATGTTTTAGAACATTTCAAGATTTTCATCTTTGCTTGAGATACTTTATTTTTTTATTTTATTTTTATTTTTTACTAGGGTCGCCAAGTGGCCGATGAATCGGCCAATAATAAACACTTCTTTCTTTTTAAATTGATGGAATGGTTGAAAATTTGAATGGCACGTGATATTGATTCCGTGAGTGAATTTTTTGTTTTGAAAATAGCAGATTTTCATTGTATTTTTATTTTTTCTCTGAGTTTGTTATTGAATTTGTGAGAAATTAATAAAGTTGGTTATAAAAAACTTAGACAAATTTAAAAATTCCTAATTCACATATATGCAGATCCGCTTCGCGCGCGGGTCGCTCTCGTTCCGGTTCTGCATGCATTTCCACATTGACAAAGCATTATCTGCATATATGTGACTTAGGAATTTTTTAAATTATCTAAATTTTTTAAAACAACCTATAATAATTTCTCACAAATTGAATAACAAACTCAGAGAAAAAATAATACAACGAAAATCTGCTATTTTCAAAACAAAAAATTCGAAAAACTTTGGGAAACCCGGGACCCGGAAGAAGGTGTTCTCTAACATGCTTTAAACTCATGTCAAACTTGACATATGTGAATTCTGAATGGCATTCTGCACATCTACTCATCAAGACCTTTCAAATGGTACCAGTGGCATCAAAATCAGTTGGGTATAAAATGGTTAAAATGGTACCAAAACTTTTTGGGCTAGCGCATTAATATGCATATAGATTGAGTATGAGGTGTAAATAACAGGAAAAATCCCTTTTACAATTTATCACCTATAGTTTGTTTTTGATAGTTACTTTGGTCAAAGCATTTAAACATTTCAGTTAAAATAAAAAGAAAATTATTGAATTCACGAAAATGAGTGGAAAGAAAAAAGAAATTTTTATAAAAGAATGAAAATAATCGAAATCAAATTCTATTTTTAATTGCATCTTTAAATTGCACTTTGCCTAGGCTCAAAATGTCAATGTCGGTATATTTTCTATTATAGAGTAGTTGAGTTCGCATTGTTGGATTGCGGTGTAGACCGTAGTTTGTTCTAGATGTATGCGGATTGAAAAGCTGATGCAGTCCCCTAGATTGACGGTTTACTCTCATAATTGGCCTGTTGGTGCGGACCATATTTGCATCATGAACAATGTTGTGTAGGAGGCAAGCATCAAAGTATTCACGCCTTCCCTCCAATTCACTCATGTTTAATATTTCAAGTCTTTGTGAGTACGGTAGTGATTCATATTGGAGTTTATAGAAGAGAAGACGAGTATACTTTCTCTGCACCTTCTCAAGTTTGAAAATGTATGTGCTCTGGTATGGGTTCCAGACTGCAGTGTTGTATTCAAGTCTGGATCTGAAAAGAGAGTTATACAGGAAGTTTACGCAGGACAGAACTTTGATGGAGTTCTCATTACAAAGCATAGCATGCTACAATATACGATTTTTTGACAATTGAGTCGGAGCCCAGAAACGCGTAGTTATGTTCTGTGTACTGCCGCAAATGACTACGCGCCCCACGTAGTATCTATTACGATCTATTACGTTTCCCAACAAAAATGAAAAATATCTCCAGTTGCTTTATGATTTCCTGTAAATGTTTTTGAATAATAATTTCGCATTTTTTTTAAATGTTTTTTTTTTAATTCCTTTTTCAATGAACATTATTTGAATCTAAAACTCGTTAAGATAAGTTCTATGACTTTTTACTACTTTTCCATTCAATGATTCCTGGATTTTTCAATTTATTTTCTCACACCATTGTAAATTCTACTCAAACCAGGCCATTAAAACCCATGTCTAGGAACTTCATTTTCTATATAAAAATTATCCAAATAAATTGAATGAAATGTTAAATGAATGTTCAATTTTTCGTGATTTTACGTTTAGCATTGGTGCTACACAGCATGTTTTGTTGATCTCCCAGTATATAACGTACTAGAATAAACTGATTGAAACTAGGAGGAATCATTTAGCAACATTGACATAGCACTTGTTACGCATATATTTTATAGGGGAAGAGGGGGTAAAGTGGGACAGGGGGTAATCTGGGACACCCCTTTTTTCTCGCGATGGGCAACACCAAACGTCAAAACGATAATAAACGTAAATGTGCATTAGTGTGGCGATCATTTGACGTGCACAGACTCTCTTCTCAGTCTGATACACACTGCGCTAGAGCACGGTTTGTGTTTTTGCCCCTTCACGCAACAATTTTTTCTCTCCATAGAAACGTGAATATCCCCTTCATTTTTGAGCATACATGAATTGATGATAAGTATAATTTGTAGCTAAAGTCGAGTGCTTTCACGTAATAATAAGTAATTTTAATTATTTCTGGTTAGTGAAAAATTGTTGATGTGTGGCGTGAAATTTGGTAACTGGGGGTAAAGTGGGACACTTTGGTGGGGGTAAAGTGGGACAGTTTATTTTTGCATTTTATGCATTTCACGCCACATCTAAGGCATAAAAACAGTGTTTATCTTTAAATTTAATGTCGATTTTGAATGTTTGTTGTAGTTTTATAGGTACATATCTATAAATTTGTGCCAAAAAGACGCCATTAGAAGAATCGACGTTGAAATCGGGTGAAACAGCAATGTCCAGTGAACCAAAATTATGATTATTACAGCTAGATGGTATCAAATATTACCGGAATACCGAGAGACTATCGCGACTCTAATAAGATACTGCGCATCGTCATTTCTTTATTTTTCCAAAAACCGGTAATGCATTTTTTCCCTTCATTCAGTATAATGCCATTGCTTCCTAGTTTTCGAAATAAATTGCCAGTGAAAGTAGATAAAAACAGTCGGAAATTATTTGAAATAGATTAATTCTCCGAATTATACATGAAATACCAACAAATATTGAGATATTTTGCTGAAAAACATACAAAATGGTGGCTGTCCCAGATTACCCCCACCTATGTCCCAGATTACCCCTACTGTCCCAGATTACCCGCAAGGGTAAGCCCTTCGGAAAATTAGCGCCCCTTCCACCTCAGACGGGGCAGGAAAAAAATGAAGTTTGCCAAAAGTTGCCTTTTTACAATACCTTTTCTACGGTATATAATTTTTTTCAATTTCCTTCAATAGCACCCGAGTTCCGCCTATTTGAAAAAAAGTGTCCCAGATTACCCTCATCTCCCCTATATTAAAAACAAGAATTTGCCATTTTCCATAACTATTTTCCCCCATTTTCCCTCAAATTCCACTTTGTAAAGTATAGTTTACATGTGTAGAATATGTGCTACTAAATTCAAATATACACGCGGTACACGACGACATAATATTTTTAAATTCAAACTTCAATTGCACGCGTTTAAAGTTTGATTGGACAGTGATAGGGGACACAAAATAACAAATACTTATGCCTCATTAGTTTGAGATCCGTCCTGTATATTCGTGCTGGTTCGTGCCATATTTCTGTCTATAACCCGACAAAGTTTAATAAAGGTGCATCATTTGTGCTCACAAATCTCATTCGCTGACGAGGCAGTGGAGTTGTCAAAATTGAATTGCGATGGATAGCTATTCGTTTGCCTTTTTGATTTGGAATATGCCCAAAAAAGTTTTATGTTCGATTTCATGTTTGCTTGAATGTGTGTGATATAGGCAGAATGACAGCTTTCAATTTTGGACTTGCATTCTTTTCTTAAATCAGAAAATTTAAGGTAATCCTCAATTAAGTTTGTTATTCTATATTTTTTCCTAGCTTTCACCTTGTTCTTAAGAGCTGTTTTTAAATCATTGTCGAACCAAAGTGGAAATTTTAGTCTACCCTTGAATTTTATTAGATCATAATCTACTCTTCTGAAATTATATTTGCGGTGATTGAAAACAGGCAAATATTTCACTTGTTCATTTATTGTGATCTCAAGAGGTGGATGGTAACCATCCACATTGACCAAAAATTCATCCGATTCAACAACATTTAGGGCTCTCAACGGATCTGACGATAGAACTAGGTCTAATATTTTTTCATCTTTATTTACTACCGAATTATGCTGTCTGGAGTTACCAAAACTGATTAAATTTAGCACATCAATTGCTTTCTCACAATTGTTACTGAGAAAAGGTGTTAAAATACCATCGGTCCCCAACACCCATTCAATATCACGCACATTAAAGTCGCCAAAAATACTCTATCAGACGGGTCGAGTTTTGAAAGACTATCTTTGATTCTATCGGTAAAGGCAACGTATAGGTGAGCATTGCTAGGCATGGATGTAATATACACTGCACATATGAATAAATCACTATCAGAATTGTCCAATTTGACCTGTATCCACAAATCCTCCACAAAATCTATGTCAGGTTCCAAATCATACCTACGAGTCACATCCATCTCCTTTTTATGAAAAAGCCAGCATCAACCTCCCATAGTGGTTTTGGTGTACGATCCCATAGTGGTTTTGGTGTACGTGGTTTTGGTGTGGCATTACGATCTCTACGATGTGATG